GGGGCATGAGAAGGTACTCAGACTAGACAACGGCGCAACTCTATCGACTGTTAACAAGCTAGGTATGTTATTGAAGGAGTGATGCCCGTCTAGCAAGTTATGTAGCATAGTTGAAACATAGGCAACTCAGTAAACCTAAAACCCTTTGAGTGGGCTCGTGAGCGACGCGATAAAACTCAGAGAGAACAAAAAAATGAATGCTTTGGAGACGGCCAAGAGGCTGAAGGCGTTACGAGGGAAGCGATCCCCGCTCGAAAGGAGTAGCCGAGTGGAAGAGGAAGAGGTAATAGATGAGCTAAAGCTTTGTAGATTATTAATTGAATCTATATTCTGTTGTTTGTGTCACGGAAAACTGAAGATTGGGAGATCTTAAGGATTTTGTTATGAGAGAGGGAGAGGCGAGGTGGCTGAGAAAGGAAAGTAAAGATAAAGTAGATAGTGGTTTCTTGAATGCTCGTGTTGCTTGTCCTGTATATTTCTATCTGGGGAATAGAAGGGGGTTTATATAGACAGTTCTAGATACAACTCCCAACTAATATTTCTTCCACCCGTATACTCATGGATGTGGCATTTCACATGAGTCCGAGACCCTTCCAGCAGCCGTCACAATCTCCGAGGTTGATGCGACCTGAACTACTGCCTAGGTGAATACCGAGACAGCCTCAATCCACAGAAGACTGCCGAAGAGGACCGACAACTACCGAAGACCTCCGAAGACTACCTGAAACCCAATGAAACATAATATGAGACGACGCTAAGAAAACTCATACACGAGGAAGATGACAACACATCCTAGCTACAAAACTAACAACAAAAAACTTTTCTTTCTGTGATCCGGAACACCAGAATGAGCACCGGTGATTTTCAACAAAGGAAGGGCTTATGAAAGAGCAATGGGGTATGCGGTGATGGTGGAAAGAGCGCTGGATGCCGAGAAGCGGTTTGGGAAAGTGGTGGTAGTACGATGACACCAAGTGGGAGTGACCGTTGTATGTCTGTATGCACTGAGTAAAGCACCGTATATTTCATGCACGGGGTCGGAGTGGCTGGAGTTCGATTAAAATAATGAGGCAATTAGACGAATAGTATTCAATTTACACAGATGTAGAATTCCCCAAATTTGGAGCGTGCTCTATGATAGCGTATCCGAGACCACCGGTATCATGTCAGTAGTGAGGGTTAAGTTTGCAACAAAAATCCACCTCTCCCTGACTAAAAACAGCTTAGCCAATCTTCCTGGGGGCTGACTGCCATGGGACCACGCGTAACCTCCGATTCATTGCGTGCCGGTATTGCACTGCTGCATGCGCACATTTCCTCTCTACTATGCCGAAGGACACCAGCTCCAACCGCACGATCACACAAACTACTGTACATGTACTCGAGTACTGTACTCGAGCAAATTACGTGCTCTAGCCTTATTGCTTAGTAAACTATCGGTACACTATCCACCATAATAATTGGGCCTCGCGCGCTACCTTGGACGTCCAAAATTCTATCTTCAATAGAGCTGAGTGGGATGTGTGTTGCCACATGTCATTTGCTGGCCACTTACCAACTCCCTAAATTAATCACCGTATGCCAGCCTCGGGCCACCTCCCATACCACCTGTCTCATTCCCGTCGGCAGTTCCTACGGCTGGAACGACTGCGCTTACGCGCCCAGAAAATAGTCTGCTCGCTTTCATAGGCCTCCCAAAATTATGATTGATACAGGGCAGGTGTGTCATGTCTTCGATTTTCATTGTTTCATGCACCGGCTCTAGTTCTGCGAGCTCGATCGATTTTGGGGCAGGATTGTGCGCTGGTCCAACCTCGCAGATGGGACAGCCTGCTGTTCCGTGAACGGGGGTGCTGTGTCATACGACACCGGAGTAAGGCACCCTCCCAGGAGCGGCTGAACTCTATTCATGTATTGGCATGGTTGGTTACACGAGTATGCTCAAATTTCTACACCCCCCAGTTCCCACCGATAGAGCACCCAAACGTGTATTTCAGAATGCGCAGCTACTGCACTAGGTACTTGAACTGTGCTCACGCTCGTGGTATGCAGGAAAATCCTCTCCAATCCGCAGATTGTTGTCAACTTATCATCTCGTGTAGGCTCTTCTAGGGCGTAAAAGGGCATGCATCAAATGACGATTATTGTCTAAAGACAACACTTCTCGGACTCTTATACGAGGAAGCTGGCTGCAGGGTTAGGGTACCGTATTCTTCACTGGTCTTGAGCGTCTTCCCCGCCAGCCTGATTGCCCAAAACCTCCGGGTTGCTCATACTGAACTTTCACCCTTCTTACCATCACGAAATGCTGTCTCTCTAATCCCCACCCCTCACACCTACGCTAAATCCTAAGGCTCCTTTGAAGTGAAATAGCCAGACCCGGAACCGGGATTACATGCCAAATCTCCCTCAAAAGTAGGGAATTATTCATCTCAATATTCAAGGTTAGGTCCTCGGCAACCCGTTCCATGGTACCATATCTCGCGGTATTGACATGTCTTAGCGCGAGCGAACCGATTTTGAACAGCCTCGGTTGGCGAGATCGCCCACCTTTCCAATTTCAGATACGCTAGCGATATCTCGTCAATTACTACTCTTTCCTACCCAACCTTTGAAAACGGCATTACAGTAAGCTGAGAACTAGAGTATAGGATGGACCGGTATGCTGCCCTTCCCTCCAATGTCTGCGATTTCAAAAACAATAAGCATGCGCCTAATATCCTTCCCAGAGGAATCCAGTGCGATACTAGGGGAGACTTCAGCGCAAACTCCGGCGATTATAACGTTTTCGGAAGTAATAACAACAATAACGTAAACGCGGGCTACCTGAACCATGGTGGAAATCACGGAACAATTTATCAAGGATGTATGTTTGGAGCTGGGGACAGAGGTATTATCAGCTTTCCCTAGCGGTTTCTGGCAAAGATCTAATGCACTATTGCAACTAGAACAAGCACCCAGGCCGTATCGTATGATTCCCTACGGCAGAAATAACAGGTTCACTGGCCGCCAGGATCTAATTGAGTCGCTGAGGAGGTATTCTGAACGTAAAGGGCACAACCGGATCGCGCTCCATGGATTGGGCGGTTCTGGGTATGTATTCATGATCGCCATTTTAGGAGCCTACTAACCTCGTTTAGGAAGACCCAGATTGCCCTCGAATACCTCTATCGGCGCGCAAGCGAGAGCGAATGTGATGTTTTCTGGGTGCACGGGAGTGGCCTACCAAAATTTAGCGACGACTTTAGAGCGATAGCACAACATGTTCGAATTCCGCCACCCAGTGCCGAGCCAGACGAAGAGAGTCTCCTGTTAAATATCAAGAGGTGGTTCGAAGGTCCATCCAGTGGCGATTGGATGCTGGTTATTGACAACGCCGACAATGAGGAGGACTTTATGGGCAACCGCGGTCGCATTTCCAAATTTGTACCACAAGGGTCTCGGGGTACCTTGATACTCACCACCAGATCAACCCAGGTTGCATCACGAGAGCGTTGTGAAATGATTGAGGTCAGAAAAATGGCGGAGAATGATGCCCAAGAATTGCTTTTGAAACTCTTGGGTAACGTGAACTGCGGGAGAGATGGAGAAAAAGATGCGATCACAATGATCCTGCAATCTATACATCACATCCCACTGGCTATCATAGGCGCAGCATCCTTCATGACAGAAACCCACACTCCGCCTTCTACTTACTGGTCTATTTTTCTCGGAAGCGACGAGCACGCCAAGAGGCTTCTTTCACGGCCGTTTTGCGATATCCAACGAGAGACCGACATTACTGAGAGCACCCTCACTACGTATTTCATCACCTTTGACCGGATTGCAAGGGGGATGCCCCTAGCGGCGGATCTTTTGCGTTTAATCGCCTTCTTCGATCGGCAGAACATACCCGAAGAGCTATTGCGCCAAAGCGGGTTGGAAGGGATAGACGATCAAATCCAGTTTCGTGAGGGAATTGGAAAACTATTAGGATTTTCGCTAGTTACGGCCATCACACATGAGGACAAGACATTTTACGAGCTACATCGATTGGTGCAACTGTCTTTGCAAGTGTATTTACCAGCACAAGAGTTAAGTCGATGGAGGGCCAACGCACTGAAAGTGGTTTCAAGGGTTTTCCCTCGGGATTGGATCACGTGGAAGGATGTTAGCTCTGCATACATTCCTCATGTACTTGCAGTAACCAACAATTCAACGGATCCCATTGCCGAAGAGCTTAGTTTTCGCCTGGGACGGTACTTTCATGATATGGGTTCATACAATAACGCAGAAACTCAATTGCGTCGATGTATTGCACTTCGGGAGGAGAGCAAAGAGCATGACTGGGATGAGGAGGGTCCGAGGAGAGTTCTATTCCTGGGTGTGATATGCATACATCAAGGAAAGGCAAATGTAGCCGAGGACATGCTTCGGAGGTTATTAGAGCATATTGGGAAATCATTGGACCCAAATCATCTAATCGTCCAGGACGCAATTGGACACTTGGCTTGGGCGCTATCAAACCAAGGAAAGTACGAGGAATCGCAGAAGATGTATTGGCGTGGACTAGAGGGGGACGAGAAGATTCATGGACCAGACCACCCAAACACCATAACAAGTGTCGACGGCCTGGCTCTGGTGCTGAACCACCAAGG